AGTTCGATTCTCACCGGCTCAAGGTTGACTCCGCCTTCCATCCTTCTGAGGTCAGTAAAATGAGGACCCAGATTGTTGGGGGCAACAGGCTGACTCTGTAAACTGCTTAGAGAGGGCTGTAAAGCACTGTGAAACTGCATATAAGTCTTAAGTGCTATTGTTATTAACGTTCAGCTATTTTAATGGTGGAATACAATTGGGCAATAACAGTTTACTGCTGTAGAATCCCATAGTGAAGGCGTTTCTGGATGAATTTGTGCCTCCTGTTTCTTACCAGCCACAGGGGCTAAAAAATTGTAAAGATAAAACAGGTGTTCAGGCCTACTGTGACCAATCGCGCACAAGACCACATGCCAACCCCAGTGTTCTCCTCCTCCACAGGTGATGCCAGTGAGAGTGCCGAGGATATTTTTTTCCGCCGGGCCAAAGAAGGGATGGGGGCTGATGAGGCCCAATTCAGCGTGGAAATGCCCTTGACCGGCAAGGCCTACCTGTGGGCTGACAAATACCGTCCCCGCAAGCCACGTTTCTTCAACCGAGTGCACACCGGATTTGAGTGGAACAAGTACAACCAGACCCACTACGATTTCGACAACCCTCCGCCCAAGATTGTGCAGGGTTACAAGTTTAATATCTTCTACCCGGACCTGATTAACAAACGCTCTACCCCGGAATACTTTCTGGAAGCTTGCCCAGACAATAAGGACTTCGCCACCCTGCGCTTCCACGCTGGACCTCCCTACGAAGACATCGCCTTCAAGATTGTCAACCGGGAGTGGGAATACTCTCACCGACATGGCTTCCGCTGCCAGTTTGCCAATGGCATCTTCCAGCTCTGGTTCCACTTCAAGCGCTACCGTTATCGGCGCTGAAGAGGTGAACCAGAAGTGGGCTGATTTTATGAAGGGACAAATGTAGGTAATATGCTTGAACGTGGACCAAGATGGCGGCTTTCAGTATTGGGCAGCGTTTCTAAAGTGTGATAGAACTACTACTATCAGAAATTGTCTTTTTAAAAAATGTTTCAGGGCTGCCCTGATATTCACCAGCAATTCGGCTCTGGGGGAATTGTCTCTCTGGCAGTAGATGGTGCTGTTCCCTCTGCTAGGCGGTGACATCTGAGTCCGGTCAATTTAAAATGTCTAATTGAGGTAGCTGATACCTTGATTGAGATGATCCTTGTTTTCTAGAATGTATAGATTTGGGAGGGTGGGAGAAAATGTCCAACTACGATAAAGATTTTGGATATCTGCTGCTTGCTTGGTATTCTTTACCCCGGTATGGGAGAACATAAATCTATTCTAAAGAGGACTCAGTTAGACAAGTATATCCACAAACTGTCTTCTCCAGCTGTGTAGATTGTTCAGTGCTGATCAATAAACTAAGCCGAAGGACATAGCAGCAACTGGTAGCTTTCAAAGTGGATTAAATAAATGGTGACAAAAGAAAATAGTTCCATCAGTGGAAGAGATGTGGGGATGCTGTAGCTCTCAGCATTCCAAATAACATCCAAAATTAAATCAGAGTCCAAA